CTATCATTATTACTCTTCTAGTACTATCACTCAGCATCATGGCGTTACCAACCCTCTGATCTGTTTTTCATCGGTTAACGTTTTCCATCAGAGTCCCGGTTGTGATAGTAATAATAATAATAATAGTATGATTCTAATATATGTTTCACCGCTACCAGTTACCACGTCTCAGTTCTATACTACATCCCTTTAGTCTCGATTCAGAGTCTATATATCACCACTCTGATCATTTTTTTTTTTGTCTTCTTTTGTTAATGGCTAATTGGTTGATAGGTAATGGAATCACTCAATCAGTCGGTAGTTATTCAGTCCATGCCTCGTTACGTAAGCAATCAATCACCACTTGTAATATATAATAGTCATATACACGCTCACCGATTGTCAATATACATGTAAAGACGATGAGCGGAAGCAGACGCAGGGGAAATACGTTAATATAAGTTCCAATCCCAATCATCGAAGTTAATGTGCGGGCAGGTCATAATGAAAACTAGAGGATTTTGGAGGCACCCCGACAGCTTGCTAAATCGTATTCTTCACAATGGTCGTTTTTAGGCAATGTTGCCTTTAACAGTGTCCTACTATTGTAGCCTTCGTTTACGTAAATCAATCAACAGGATGAACGTTGAAAGAAGCAATTTAATTGTAGGTATGCCGTTGACCCTAATCAGTTGATAAGAACGACTCCATAATAGCCTTTAAGGTTTGCTAACGACGTCTGCGTACAATATGTAAGATAATCGAACTCTTAGCTGACGGGCCACTTCGGTTTCGTTCAAGAAAGAAAGTGCGCAGAACACGGCTTATTGCCTTAGGGGTCCGGTTTTAGCTCGGGGTTAGGCTGCTTCTACACACTTACGTACACATCTTCTTATAAATATTATCATTGCATATTTATTTTTTGTTTTGTCTCTCTTTTTTTCTCTCTCTCATTCCCTTTCCCTCTAACGTTGTCTTCTCGACTTGCGATACGATCCGATCTCGTAGACGGTACTCAGTCGATAGTTTCGAGATCATTTCAAGAGTCTCTACGATCTTCAAAGGTGTCAATTTTTCGCACTTATTTCTTTTCTCTCGTGCTAGGTAGATCAAGGGCGCGACGTTTTTTTGCCCGTCTCGCGAAGGCGCATAGGGCGGTAAACGTCAAGGTGCCGGTCAGTGACAAAGAAGCGTTGCACTGTGCCCATATATGTGCCATTTTAACGTGGGAACATTCTGTATCCGTGTCGTTACTTCCTTTTTTTTGCAAGAACATCACCAACTGTTGCAACCAAGTGCTGTTGTGATGATGAACACGTTTTTGTCGTGTACTGCGTGTTTTGTGCGGCATGCGTATTACGCTCCTGAAACAGCACATGTAACCTATACCGTCAACACGCGCGACTTTGCGTCACTCCGAAGTCTTTTACAGAAATAAACAGAATCGCCTTCATAATGGTTCTGCGGTAATCGAATCTGGCATACGCGTTATGATATAATGGTGCCATAAAAACATCGGGCAAAAAAATCACTGGCTAGATTTGACAAAAACAACATAAAAAAAAAAAAGGCCATCAGCTACACGGACAACTAAGGGCAAGATATTATAATAATATTTTGTACTAGGTTGAACTGGCAGGCCCCAAGCATGTATATGCGTAAAAAGCTGTCCTTTGTTGGACCACAGCTAGTGGAAGTCATAAATTTGCCCTGGGGTGAATAATCATTAAAATATGATTATGGTTTACTAAAACCTAAATAAAAACCTGTTAACAAATTACACGCGAATGCTTCGATGTGCTGTTCACTGACATTACTTTTTTTATTAGGCTATATCTAAGCTTCACTGGAACGGCTCCATAGCATCTGTCGCCGCAGGCTCACTTCAATACTGGCAACGGCATCCGTCTATTGTTCACTTAACGGGTTAAATAAATAATCTTGAGCACAATTCTGTCACAGTTTCGTAATCTCGTCACTTAATTCCCACGTGTTTCTTCTAAACAACAAAATCACAATTTGTTTGGCTCATTTACTCATGGAACAGACCGTGTGATTATACAACAACAAGTTAAATGGGGTTGTATCGTCTTCGATGAACGCTGCTGATCGTGGTTTCAGCATAACGTACTTGTACCATATCTTAAGAGATTAATCTTGGCCAGAAAAAACTTCATTTCAACAAATAGAAGGTTAGACTGTTCCTAGGCCTTAAGTTGTTCACAAACACACACATTTTCATCGATCCCGAACCTTAGCGGCCATTTTTAAAGGGCTTCAAATGTATAATAGTCATAATCGGCTAAAGACGGGGAAAATAATTTCTGTTCGATAACTAGAAAGAGTATGTTTAACATAAAAACGTTTAGATGCACGAACCGCACAAACAAGCCGGTACCGACCACTAAAATAAAGCGTGGCGCAAAGTTGCACGTATTTTATGATTATCAGCAGTGCTGCCCATTATTTTCTGTAAATTCCTCTTAATTTGTATGCATGATTGCATGATAGTTAAAGATAACATCGTTGTTATTACCATAACTTTACTTAACAACATTGTTAATAATTTCTTCCTCTTTATCCATATTACAATTGTTCTTGTTTTTAGCGAGTCGAGCAGGAAGGTAAACTGGGACATGCCTGCATCCTGGAACTCGAGGCGATCGCTGCCACTGTGTCAGCACTCCCCTGCCAAAGAACTGTCGTCATACATATCCTCCCTATGTCCTGTTTTTTCTTGCCCGCCCCCGATCCCCGACTTTGCTGGTGTCCATCGGCCTCTATAACCCCATCACCTCGTGTTGGATCGAGCGAAGGAGTCACACATGTACAGTAACGTTTGCTGACATCCAGTGGTATACCGCCCGCTGCCCATCAGTCTGTCAAGCCGTACCCGAGAATGTGCGCCAGCGTTTAGATGACATCGAATCCTATTGTCAATATGGCACAATCTCTCACTCACATCTCGATTATTGAACGACTAAGTTAAAATAGCTATCCATTCCGATACTTACGCGGCCTACAATCAGTTACGCTCAGACACACATATTATTAAATTATCTGCATGATCATGATAGTTGTCGTGGATCACTCTTTGATGTAGACGATATTCACATTATTGTACAATACACACTTTAATTATTTAGTTCAGCTGGCTGATACCCGGATTAGTTGTTTCAGCAGGAACCGTTCGATCGGCCATAGTCCTTAACGAAGTGCGCTAGAGTAGGCGACCATTCTAGGGAAGCCATTATCGCTGAGCTGTTGTTAAGATGTGTAATACGTTCTATGGGCAATGCGTATGTATCAAGTACTACGAGTAGACCTCGCACGTGCTCGAACAAGGCCCAAGCTTCCCGTAAGGAAGAGACCATGAAGTTGTGTGGAATCGGCGCTACTAATATGTCAAACTATTTTATTTGATCCCCATTATCATGTTCATCACCGTGTACCGACTTTTAGTTCTCTCTTTGGTTTTCCATCTAATTGAAACGGCATTAAATCACAGTATTGTTATTATGTAATCAGATGCCAATGACTATGAAACATGCCTCACGTCTATAAAACATAATAGTAAACACGTTTTATTAACAGACTTGACTCATGTGAATATATATATATATATATATATATATATGCGTGTCCGTGTGTATCCATATTCAAATCAGTCAAGTTGTAGTAGTAAATAACACTAGCATTACCATTATCAGCATCAATCTCAATGCGGTCAATAATAATGATTAGTATCACGCAAGTGAGTAGTAGGTCACTCGGCTGAAGTGTTTATAAGTGAGAAGGTGGCAGAGTGGGTGCGCGTAGGAAAGGACAAAGGAGACAGCCAATGGTGAGCGGAGAGACGGTCACAACAAGAAAAGGCATCGACTCAGATGCGTTTAGAGAGAGAAGGCTGGCGCCAGCCACCGCACAAACACAAAAAGTCGGTCAGACTCAACGTTACTTTATGAAGAAGTACTAATCGGCTAGCTACTAGCTAATGCCCTTAGACCTGTAGTGTCGAGACTTCGCACAGAGCTACGCTTTGAGATGAAATATTCTATATACTATGGATAAAAATGGCTCTGGACGGGATCATCACAAGCTGTTCTCTCCTCCTCTGCCATGATGAGAGAAACGACAGTTTCCGCGCTGTCCGTGATATCGTCGCTGCTTACGTTGCCTGTGCTTCAGGCCCTCCCAAGGTGCAAGTGCCTGTTTTCAGCGTCGTTCGAGGAGTGCATTCAACCACAAAATTAGAAAGAGTGGAGTGACGCAAACGAAAAGAAGAACGAAGGAATAGTAGGGGTGGTACCTGCCGTTGCTGGTCTGTTAGAGCAGCTTATGTGCAGCCGTGTAGCAAATACAGCCATTGGCTAAACGACTGCAAAAATGATTGCTACCATTCTAGCCGTCGTTATAGTCGTCGCATGCTTTGCCAGAGTTTACAGAGTCACGGAGCCAACAAAAGTTAAGGTGTGTGTGCTACAGTTATCGAGTGTCTATGAAGGTGTACGCGGAATGAGGTAGTCTTGCTCAAGGTGCGCTAGTGCTTCTGCTTCGGCCCATCGAACATCCGCCGAAGACAGGGTAAAAGAGCAATCAAGAAGATCAGGACGATATAAGAAAGGACATAACAGGCAAACACGGCAGATGAACGGATAGCTGCTTTCCTGCCTGCTGCAGTTACCCGTCCGCAGACACAGGACAAATTCCTAGCGAACTGTGTGTATATACACAAACATGGTGTACACTCACTATGCCTTTCTAGTTTTTTTTCTTGTTTCTTCCTTGCTTGATCTCTGCCAGTCGGGACGACGATCTTGCTATTATAGATGTGGCTGATGGTTCGCCAGCCGCCACCAGCTCGGCCACTCAGAACAGCTCGGCTACCGGCCAAATAGTCTAATTTTACTTAGTTAATTAATGTTATTACCCGATGTCCTTTGTCGTCAGCCTGAACTTCGCTTGGCTGCCCCCCCCCCCCCCCCCAGTGACTTCCTGTCTTCTACTTCTTCTAACCCCGCGCTAACACTGAGTTTCCTTTGCCGGGCTGCTAGAAGAAGAAGAAAGGCAGGATGTTTGCCTTCAGGCAACTGGCTCGCTTGCGTATCGCCTGCCAGCTCTGCGTTCTCAACTACGGACAATTAGGCAGCGCAACTTTCTCATGCGTAGAGATTGGCCTCTGTCCCGACCGGCATTCGAAGCAATCCTCAAAGTTGGCGGTCATCAAGCGTCGAAAGATAGAATCCAGCATCGTTGCAACTTTTCAATGCTGGCCGACAACACAGACAGCACCGATCATTTGTTTTAAAATCTAGTTATTTGTCCTGTGTCCTTGAGTTCTTTTCCTACGTCGTTTTCATTATGAATTTTGGTCTCACGGTGCTTTCCTATCCTTTACTTCGACGTTCAAATTAGAGAGTAGGGAAGATGTTAGTCATATGTGGAGCTAGAAAACCCATAGCTACTAGTTATTATTTATTTCGACGATTGATCGTACAGCAGAATTTAGGTGGATCGTTCTGGTAGCAAACTCGGGTGTGGGTCGATCAGTCCGGAGAAGGCAGACGAAGGATCTATTCCGATGAGTGATTATCAATTATAACCACCATCCTTATCGTTTTCGTCTTCGGAATATTAGCGTCGTACTATTTTTCGATCTCTCACATATATATATATATATATATATATATATATATATACATATATGCGCCCTTGTCAGTACTCTACAGTATATGGTTGTGTTATTCAATAGACACTCTAAACGCAGTTTTTCTGTCTCATCCAGAGTTTGTGATTATTTTTCTCTGCCTAATCTTCTTTCGCGCATCATTTCTCTCGTTCTCTCTGTTGTTAGTTTCTTTCCGATCAGTCCTCAGCTGTTGCAATTGGCTTGCTACCTAGTACAACCTGGTTTGTCTCCGCTCACCTTGTCCGTCCGGAGGTAACCTGCCTGAGGGAACGAATGAATAGGTCGATGGTTGTCTGCCTGCGTCTATCTCTCGTAGTCGAGCAGTAGACCGGCAGCAGCGGGCGCTGCTGCTTCTGCTTTTTGCTGCTGCTAAGCCTTCTCACTTCTCCAACCGGGGACGTACCTGACTAGATTTGGGCAAGAAAGCCCCTCGAAGGGTGGCAACACATCATCTCATAAATCTTTAATAAACACCATCACCGTCACCGTCATCGTCATCATCATCATAATCGTCCGCCTATTTCATTACCATTATAATTCAACAATGATCAATAATTACTATCATCATCATCGGCATCAGCATCATTGTTATCACCATTCAATCAGTTGTCTCTCGTTATTGCGTTGACGTTATTATTTGCGTGTTGCTTTTACTGCGATCGATTCCGTATAAATTCCATATGACTTGCGGCTCATCTTGATCTCGAACGAAAGCCGGAGACAGTTGTATATGGGGTACCGTCTATGTGACGATCAGTTCACTGTGACAGTCTTCTTTCGTCGCTATTGTTCTTGCCTGCTAATAGTGAAGCGTTAACGACAACCTGCGTAACCCACTGACCGTTACATCGACGGCGCCCCATAGCTCGGCCAACAAGATCAGCTTTCGCTCAATTCAAATCAACCATACATACATCTATTGACATATCTGTCTATGGAGAGAGTTGTCACCTGAATGAACCTAAATCTTTTGGGCTGCGTCTGCAACAGTCGTGAAGATCCTTTACTTCTCGAAAGCTCGCGCACTCGCTGAGCAGATGGGACATCGAGGCAACACTGCGCGGTCCGCAGTGGACACACAACATGGCTGTTCCGAACGCGTGGTGGCAAGCCTGGCAGACAAACGTCTGACAAGCAGCTGTGTACACGCACTCAAAATCATTCATCGGTTGACACACGCACGGACCGTTGCGCCTCTGCGTCTCCCCTATCACGGACACCATCGGTAAGCCAGCTTCAATGTCATCTGTGTTATGATATGGACGGGAGAGGGGTTACATATATATATATATGCAGCTTCATGAGTTCGTCTTGCATTGATTGCATCTAAACGACTCATTATCCATACAAAAAGTCCAATTACATTTTCAACATTCGTGCGATACACTGCGATGCATCGGATCTGATGTTTCTCTGATTTTCAGTGGTGGCAAACTGCGCATTTTCTTGTTTCCTATTGTAGTGGCTGCGGTTACGGTATTTCTAAGAACACATATCAAGCAGTGATGGTAGTTATAGAAACAGCAGCAGCGACTGATCAGCGTGGTGACCGGGTGTTTGTTCCGCGCATCTCGTGGTCGTTCGAGCCATAACAAACCGAACGTGGCGGACGCGTGGCGAAGGATCTAGGGGCATGTTGTAACTATCGCGTGACGCAGAGGCGTATAGAGGAGGAGAAGGAGAAGGAAGGCGAGCGGGGCGCTACAGGGCAGGAGGCGCGTCGCTGCAGACGTCGCGATTTCGCTTAAAGCTACCAAGGAGACCACTGGTTGATGTTGTGCCGCAGGCTGAGATGCTGCTGCGGTAACCCGTGGCCCATGCTGTGCCGGCCATGCATTAGCTCATCCTCCAGTCCGAGGCCGCCGTCATGGTCCTAGCGACAGCCGAACGGATCAGGCATTTGGCAGAGACGAATCAACGATCGTACACAATGTAGACGCGTACACACAGCAAAGAACAATGAAACAACAAGTCACCAGGTTAATGTTCTGTTTCGTACTTATTACCTGATAATAACGTTCATACCATATATTGTTCATGTTGTACAGTTTCATTCGATACTATCGTATACGAGTGCTCACCTCTCAGAGTCAGGCACATACGCCTCTTATTTGTCACATACACGCACGTATCGGAATAGCCGTTGCCCAAAGAAAGTTTCGACAAGTTTGACTGAATGCACACTAAAACCGCGTCGTGCAGTGCTACCTCGACATCTCGAGCATAAAGAGCGAATATCCATGAGAATATTATCGAGTAGAATGAAGATCTAGGCATGTATCTTTAACTGGTGCAGACTTATCTCTATAAGGTAAAACTAATGAAGCGTTATCTAGTTTGGGCGCTCTAGCGCATATCAGCATGTTGTCTACTGGTCGTCAATGTAATGCTCTTGATGTAGACTTTTCACGACAAGACGTCGTTTTAATCAAGAGGTGTTCAGTTCTTCTTAGGTTTGAAGAATCGTATCAATTGGGGTTCCAGTGCCGTGAAGCGAAGATGAGTGTATATTCAGCAGTAGCCCAATGGGATGTGATCAGTTATTGCCAGCTCATAGGGATGTCTGATTGAGATGACGCGAGAAAAACGTTGCTCTTAACGTAATTAAGTCGCATGGATGATGATCATAGAAACGAAGAGATTGTGATTTGTTGGAGATTGATGGTACTTTTGTGCAGCGAGATGACAACGCTGTTAGAGAAAGATGTTGTGATGGCTTACTAACACCGCAGAGTGGAATAGCTTTAGTGGCGATTACAATTATCAATTTTTTCGGCTTATTTGCTAGTACTAGGAGTTCGATTCTGAAAAAGAGTTATTCGTGGACGCTGGTGAAGGCAAATCGGGTGGGCTCGCTGCCTGCACTTGGGTGAGGTTACTGTTGAAGCTATTTTGATTGGCTAATGCACCGATGGAAGCCATCGGAGTAATAGTGTTTCCAGAGATTATACTTGTCGCCGTGGCACTTGCTGTGCTTAAGCCTGTCCTAATCATTTGAGGTGTTGTTATTGTTGTCAATAGTTGTGGTTGTTGCGAGATTTGCTGTGACAAGGAGGCTAGACTTAAACTTACGGCAGGCTGGCCGGTTGCTGTGGTGTGGCTGTGCAGTAGGCCCGCTGGTGTGCCGGTTATCCCTTTTAGGGCTCCAGCAGGCGTAGCGCCTTGTTGGCTTTGTTGATGCAACTCGCTAGGTGGCCTACCCCCGCCCACTGTCGCCACCGCCGCCACGTCCCTCTTGATCTGTTGCTGCTCCGAGTCGTCCAACCATTTGTCCTGCGAGCGCCGTCTGGCGTTCATGAAGAAGTTACCCACGGTGCTGAGCTCAAGCCCGAGCTGCTGCGAGATGGCGATTTGCATCTCCTTCGAGGGCCGCTTTGTCTCCTTAAAAATAGCTTGCAGAGTACGTCGCTGAAGGTCGGTAAACACCAGGCGGGGTTTCTTCGTCTGGCTCTGGCTTTTGGATGCGCTCAAGTGGGTGACTGTGGGGGGCGCGACCGAACCAGCCGCCGACGACACATGAACTGCCGCCAGGGCCGCTGCTGCCGCCGCTGCCGGTCCCCCCGGCGTTCCCCCCACTACCCCCACCGAGTGGTTGGTGTCCTCTTTCCGTTTGCACGCTGGAATTCATCATAAGATAAACGGACACACGAACAGACAAAGACACAATACGAGAACAAACTGAGTTGAAAAAAGGTATTTAACTTCACGCTTAGAAATGTCGTTGTTTATTCCACTTACTCTTTTTCCTATTCAAAATTTACATGCTTCTTTCAACCTAAATGCAGTACGTAGACTATGTTGAAGATTTAGATTAAACAGAGGTGTATACTAGCCTTAACAGCCTGGTTATGTATTTGTACAGTGTCAAGATATCCCGAAATATACTGCCATATTACGTGTTCTTTCCGCTAGATAAATGTTCAATTCAGGCCATTGCTGTACTTTGTCCGCTTTCTATCTGTCTGATCTATAGGTCTCCTCTTTACTGTTCCTTTCAAAGTGCGTACGCACGTGGGTTACCGGACATTTATATAAGAACGGCTCTTTGCGTGCAGTTGCCGTTGGGGGTTTTGAGAAGCTGAGTTTTTGAATGAACTGTAAAAAAATTATCAATTCAGTACTACGTTCATTTAACCCATCATTTAAGAAAATATATTCACGTTAACTATATATGAAAAGATAGCATTTAGTAATCTACGATACTCAAGCACTATTGAATGTCTTTTTCATGACTCTAGCTTTGCCCTCTGTTCTGATCTAAGCAGTCAATGCTTGTATCATGCCTCTGCGTGAAATCTATTATGCTAGGAAGGAGCGAATTGTTGTTCGGGGACATACTTTACGGCTGCTGTAAACATTAGAAGGCACACAGTAAGAGACAACAGGCACTGATGTCCCTGCAGAATACGTTCCGTTTTGGACAAAGTGAAGACATGAATAATACTTTTACGTTATTTGCCCTTGAACTCAGATTGACTCGGGACAATTATGTTTGCAGGCAAAATAGATGCCACTAGAGCAAGGTATGTTTGTTCATTCAAATGACGGTAGATCGTTGCATTCACCACAAAATGTAAAACATATGCTTTTTCGAGATTGAGCATTATACATTAATGGACATACGCGAAACAAATATAATTATTAATATGTAATAGTTGTCTGCTAGGTAAGCCTATATTAGGCTGCAGCCGTTAGCAGGGCTTAGTCCAACGATGCCAGACGAATTTAATCTGGGCCGGCCAACTCAAGCTTGATCGAACTGTCGCTAGATGCCTAAAGTTCAGTAACACCCCCTAGTCAGCCGATGGATCGATCGATCGATCGACCGACCGACCGACCGACGCTGCGCGCGAATCTGTTTCGTCAAACAGTAACGCTACGGCCTCATATGACATTTGGGTTCTATGATTACAATATGGACATGCAGCGGTCGCGACACATTCGAATGTGTGACAAAGCAGCTGTGAATCTATCCACCGGTACCTGCATGCTAGAATTGTTACTTCCTCTTACTTGTTATATAAATAATATCTATAAACATTCGTTTAACCGCCGTATTCGTCTCAATGACATACTACTTCGGACAAACATGAGGCGTGCAAATCAATTCCTAACCCAGCCCATCATCCCGCATTCTATGCCAAGTACTTAACCGACTCCAATCTGCTATTTTGGCCGTTTCCATGGCAATCTTCTAGCTGGTACGGACAGCTAACATCGTGGCCAGCTTTTTGAGCTGTGGAGAATCATCAAAGTAGCATAACCTGTTTGCGTGACGTTCGTAAGAGCTGTCGGATTTTTCCATCGGCCCCGTTACGTTGCTTTCATTAGCTGCCGATTAGATAAGCGACGTCTACAGAGCTCCGTTGTTCTCGTACAGCTCCGTCACTTTGCTACTATATTCCAACGTAGTAATAGCAGCAGCAGTAGCAGCGCTACAACGGTATATCTCTGTCACTACGTTCCCTTCTTTCTCCAAAGAGGGCGGCGAGAATGTTAGAGAAATGCACGTTTGAAAGCAAGAAACCGTGTTGTGGTTCGAATCATTCGAATACGGTAGCAAACGACAGGGCTAAACGCCATAGCTTCCACTGTAACAGTTCGGAAACCCGTGTGGTTCTTTTCGCGGGGATGCTATTCAGCTTGGCAACGTTGCTGACTTCGGTTTCGATCGACGGGAAACGTGAATGACTGTTAAAGAGTACTAGACAAGCATTTGCTTTCTTGTGCTGTGGCAGACGAAATGGATTACGGGTGAAGTGACACAGAAGGAAAAGTGAGCCGAACGATTAATAAACGGAGTAAAACTGATCGAACCTTCGAGTTATATGGCTATAGCAGTTGTTGACATGGTACGCTGCGAATGGTCTTTTGTACTGGGCATCGACTGAAATGCAACGCGTACACGATGCACATCGGCACAATGAAGCTCACTACGGCCGTTCTATGTTTGTTTCGACCTAATAAAAGGTGCAGTTAAGGACTATTGCTGAAAGCTGCTGATCGAGCCATGAGCAATGCTATCATCGTTAGATGCTATGATGCGAGCACGACATTATCGAAACGGCCCCGCGAGAAGCCCTTTATGTTTTCGTCAACAGCTTATTCTCGCCGGCTGTATACTGTGCGCGATCTGCTTACTGTCCCTTCAGCTATATGTGCCTTACGGATTTCAGGACAAGGCAATGCCAACAGTCAGCAAAGTTCAGCGCCTTGAAAAAATCCGCCAATCCTCAAGCTTCCGCCACAATTCAACTCAACCAGCTCGTGCGGTGACACCCCATCGATCGCAGCTGTCACCCGCCAAAAGGAAAATACCAAAAAAAACTACCTTTCCGCCTGTAGAGGCCAAAACGGTGCGTCGAAAGTGGACCTTTAACTTTACCCTACGAATCAAGCCTACAGCATGCCAGACTCAGAATGGCCGTTGTAACTTTAGCGAACCCGTTGTAACTTGCGTATCTAGCGGTGCTAGTCAATTCGAGCGGAGACAAGCAGTTAGAAAAACGTGGGGAAACTGGCCTAATGTAAGGGTGTTATTTTTCTTCGGTGCAAACGAAAGTTTCCAAGCAAAGCTGATTGAAGAGACTGCCAATTACAATGATATCGTTCAATATGATTTTCTGGATACGTATGAGAACTTGACATATAAATCTGTATCGATGCTTCGATTTGTCTCCGCTTCAAAATGGGACGCACTCAAATTTGTCATGAAGTCAGATGACGATACGTTTATTAACGTACGGTTGCTCCCAAAAGTTCTTGCAGCGATAAAACGCCCGGGCATTTTTGGTAGTGTTCAAGCAGGTGCTCGCCCAAGACGGGAGCCAAAAGACAAATGGTACGTTCCTGAAGAGGAGTTTCCGGAAAATGTCTTCCCGTCGTACGTAACAGGTTGCTTCTATATTATTCCGATCACCCAGGCACTACAAATGAGCGAACATGCAACAGACATACATCTTCTCCGGTTCGAAGATACGTACATAACAGGCCTCCTTGCCAAAAAGCTCCATATTCCACGATACCAAGTGCCGTTAGCCGGCGTTGATTGGACAAACTCGAGGCGTCGAATGCAAGATGTCGTTAAATCTTTGATAGCAAAACACTACGTACAGCCAATACAAATGCTGAAAATGTTTGCCTATATGAACGATCCAAGAAATATAATCGCTTAAATTTCGACCCTTCAGATAGGCAGGCAGGCAGGCAGGCAGGCAGGCAGGCACGCAAGCAGTCGAACGTCATCATCCATCTCCTTCGCTACTATTTGCTTCAGTTAAAGACCCAGCCCAACCAACCCCATGGATCATACGAACATATCGTACGAATTACTGTTAGTTACAATAGGCGTCCTTTTTATTTCGACAAAGCTGATTCTGTCAATCGCAACCACAGTGATAACTGAGATACCAGCCGTACGTTTGAATAACAATTGCTCTCTGATGAAGGCATCAGCATACGTCGTTTTTACACATCCCGGCAAATATATGTCATAGACTTATCTAGGTAGGCTCTATTGAAGTGTATTACTGTTGATTCATGTTTTGGGAAGACGTGTAGTGAATAATAGTAAATCAAGTATTTTATTGTACGCATATGACAACGGTGCTTGATTTTTCTGATCTGAGATCCTAAGAATAAAAAGGGCACGTAGGTATATTGCACCTAGATGTAGAAATTTAGGGCATACTAGACGGACAAATGTACTAGTTTGCAGTCTATACATCCCAAAGATGAATGGTTTGCGCCTGAGCAGATAGCTGGTTTGTGATTCATACGAAGACTACTCTGCGTACCTGTGATGGTACATGCAATTGGTTCTCAACGTCTACTGCGAATATAATGTCGAAAGCCTATGACTTGAAAAATGTGTAGGATAAAACTGTTGCATTTGTCGTGGCCTTAACCGTCGCTCGGACCGTGGAAGTTTCGCTCTGTTAAACGCGTATTGGCACTAGATAGCGTAAATGTTTCGGGTCATGAGACGCCACTAGCGTCGCTCCCTTTACGTCCGCTCAAAGTCGTTTCAGATCTTTCCGGGTCTGTTGCAGTGGCTTCCTGCATTTGCGCCAACGCACAAAAGCCAATTGACAATACGGTCACGGCTACTGGAAGGCTTCTTTGGGCGATGTATGTAGCTGCCGATTTATGCTATGCAATGAGCTTATTGAATAGCGCTCTGATACTATTCAGCGGTCTCTCGACGCTCCTACACGAGATTCTATAGAATTTATAAATTTCCGAGGTTTGATCCAACAATTGCCAGAACAGAAGGACGACTGATTTTTTATCTGCGTATGTTACTATATGAATACTCGAACATGGGTGTAAATAGAGGACCATACCACATTGCTTTAATTCATTTATCTATTAATTGAATTTGGCAAAAAATAAACTTTGAGCTGTTCGATTAGCACCGAGGAAGGACAACCGGGAATAAGAGAATGCAGAAAAGGCCCTGCGAGCAGAAGTGATACAGAAATACTTTGACAAGTGGATCGCGAAAAATCGTTATCCGAAACGTGGTGTAGCAGTTGTATAACGGCAAGCGTTTCGATGTATAGAGTTCAAAGCCGCGTCCTACATGGGGTGGCCTTGAGGCGTGCAATTCGTGATTTCTTCAGACTAGACGTATATATTAAATATGGCTTTACTCCTCTGCTATCCTTTCTTCATTCACCTTTCGATAACTGAAACGTCGAATTTAATTAAAAACTTTCGGTGGTCCTGATTCAGGAGCTCATAAGCGAAGGATGCACCGCGTCGTCTTATAACCAGGCTGCCGTAGCCAATGACGGTCCTACAGAGCGGGGCGCATTCAACCAAGCTTACTGCAGTTTAGCACAACGATGGACGCGTAACTCTTACGGCTGCTGCCAACGGCAGACTCACAATCGATAAGACAAAAAATCCCGCCGTTATCTATCATCGCGTTTGATTTTTTTTCATCTTGTGTGGCACTATAATGCCGCTAGAGTCTGATCACAGTATACTGATGTGGCTGGCCTGGCTGTTCTTTTGTGGCGTGTCTGTCTAGTCGAGCGTGACAAAAGAACTCGTGAAAAGCAATCAAACATCAACTGAACGCGCTTTAAACTCCGATTGCCTCCGGCATTCGAATAGCAACTGCTGGTTCACGAACTCAGTCGGTGGAGTCGGTACATATGAAGACGATCGGGGATAGGAACGGCGCAAGCAGGTTTTTATTTAAACAATTTGGATGAAGACAGGGGCAAAACATGCGCTTGTCGACATAGGTAAGACCCATTCTGTACAGATGCTTTCATCGTGCGTGTATGCAGTTGTCGGTTTGTTCAAGTTGTTTTGCTTATAATCCGTATTGGCTAAATAGTTCAACGAAAAGCACTAATATCCGCACTAGTTTCTCAACTTAAAATGCCAAAATGGCACCCGGGTAGGAAGCTGTAAGGACTAAACCGGAGCAGTGGCAAAGACAGAGGCAACTTCACTAGCGCCAATCTCACTTGCCCAATGCAAACTCTTCCCACTGAAGGCGTCGCGAGTGCGGACCAGCGCTCTCTAATCGATTCTTTCATTTTCTATCCAACTGCGTTTGTTCGTCACCCCTAATCTTACCCCAGTTATTTCCTTTTGTATGTCGCGGTTCACACTGACAAGGTACCTCTTCTGGCTAGCTAACTGGCTACCTTTTCCGACCTCTGGCTGGATCTACACCAGATACTGCGTTGCCCTCTCCTCGCTCGCTCTGTTTTTGTTCCTATGCTCATCCATCTCCATCGTATACTCCCCCGAGGCCCTTCATTGTCAAAGTTGCTTTAGCACAGATAACATCAGAGCACTATTCCAGAAAATTGTTTTATTGTTATCGCCAGTGGCGCCTCGGAAACGACAAAAAGGCCTCCCGTTTCGACCCTTATTGTGAATGAAATTTTCGTCAAATAAATTACGTTGCGTGGCTTTCATCGACCCTTTGACGGGTAACAAGACGCCTCTGTCTGTCTGTCTGTCTGTCTGTCTGTCTCTCATTTCGTCTCTAGTTCTCCCTCATTTCGTCCATATGTGAAGAAGGTCGAATTGGTTGAACGAATAAAGAAGTGACAGCTTTTTAACGCAAATGGATTTCGGAACGCCGCTCCGGATACCACTCCGAAGCATTAGGCAGCCCAGCACGCAGTGACAATTTCTACCGGAGGTCTACATTTTGACGGCAAATGGTCCTTACTGCCTACGACAGTGAGATGACTAGTAGCAAAGAACAGAAAACCTGAGATTTAGCATTCATAGAGTGGATAGCATGCGTATGCAGAGAGAAAGACGTATGGGGAGACTACTTCGATGATTAATGGTTTTTGATTGACGGGTAGGTGCTTGCAGATGTCTCAGACTCGGCATGACTGTCAGCAGCACGGACACACAGCTTCTGCTGCCCTTGTTGAGCGCTGGCAAATAAAAACGTCTCTAATTGATTCGGTCTACTGTGGACTAAATGGCGCCGCGAACAATAACCCTTTCTTCATCGATACATTGTATGTTTCCATTAATTCACAGCTAATAGATATTTGCCATAAGCAGGAAATGACGAAGTCATTCAGGTCCGCATCGAAGGCTGTCAACACCAGTGTAGTGTTTAACAGTATATTGGTCCTTCATAGCCGTTTGCCCATCAACGGTTTCCAGTTTAAGTTCAGGCAAGACGAAAAAATAAGGTTTTGCCGCACACTGCTGGCAGAGTTTGGCAATCACCGTTAGCAGAATCAGCGGTGAAAGATTCCTTAGATGGTTAGAGGTACACCTTAGTCGCGTGCTTCGCCGTAGCCGCTGACGGCCCCCGGGGCGAATCCGCCACGATCGCCTAAGATCGGGTCATTGCGAGTCCGACCACGGGCTCAAAGATCAACACGACCGCTAAGCTTAGACAAAAAGCAAGGTGGATCGTCATCGCCGATGAGCCAGTCGAGCCTTCTGGGCTTGGATTTAGCCCCTGCCCGAGAAGCAAACACCAAAATGACTTGAGCGGCGAACTTCCTCAAACGACTGCTCCCACAATTCCCTTTGCTTCCGATGCCTAGACCAACGAATGGACAGGATCCTGGCCAGCTAGTAAGCTCGAAGATGATCACAGAAAAAGAGATGACGTTCTCCAACTGCTTAGACATTTGTCTTCAGGTTGATTTGTCCTTCCTTATTGGGGCTCATAGCTCGGCACTAACTACTTCGCAGTCTTTTTTCTTTTTTTTTCGATCCGGTGTTCCATCCCTGTTGTATAATGTTGGGCAGCATTTAAAGGCGGATGCTTACACTTACTTACGACAGGGTTGCCTTAGAGTCTCAGAGCTAGTCCGCAAGAATCCCAACAGAGTGAGAAAGTCGTGCGCTATGTTATATACAGCTTTGTCGAGACATCACCATGCTTTTCGTCCTCTCCATGGCCTTCGGCCTTCCCAATCTAACATCAAGCTCCAATCTATATCGATATCGGAAGCCGTGATCTAACTCTTAACGAACTTTCTTGTGAGCTCTAAGCAACTAGTCAGTCAACCTCGTTGCCAGGCTATCCCCACACAGGGTGGAAGCGATGGAGAGTCCACGGCGAATAGTGAAACAAGTTTGTATCGCAGTCAGGCTGGCGTCACTGGTATAACATTGAGGGTTGTGCGGTAGATGCTCTCGAAGAATTCCAACTGTACTCACACGATACCCCTACGATACCTTCACGATACACCCACATTATACCCCCTGTGGCCCTGGAGACTCCTACCAGTAAAACTTTGTCACTGCAACGATAGCTATTTAGCTATTAGGAACAAAGAGATGCTAGCAAAAACTATTATTTCGCCATAAGACCCAAATTCAGATTTGCTGCATAGGGTCAAGGAGGGCGGAAAGATATATGCAACGAACGTTGAAATATATTCAAGTCGCGAAGTACCGCCTGGGGAGCCTACTTTTCGTGCAAAGAGCCCAAAAGTAAGCTAAATTCCGTGTAAAGGCATGAAGGCACGGTAGTTAGCAGTGAAAAGGGACGGAATTCACTATCGTCACCTGAGATGTGTTGCACTCGAAACGACGGTAGAGAAACAGAAGAAGTCATTGAAGACTGAGTCGATAACATCATTAGGGCTAATGAAAATACAGGGCATAATAGAATGGTGATGCCCTATTTTAGAATATCAAATAATCATACATCTTGGCAAAGACGAATCTCTAAGGCTCATTTGGAAAATCACGCAAGGACACTAAAACTGGGCAAGACATCGTAACAGGTCCAAGCTTCTACTGTTAACGCGTTTCACCTTATTCCTTGGAAGCAGCCAAAATGCAAGGATCGTCAAAAGTTAGCCCGTATTAACTCGCAGCTAAGATTTCGATTGTAACACTTCCAGTATACTATCTCTAAGGCGCCGTGTGGCTTTTGCAGTGAATATGTTTGCAAACCTTTTGGCGTTTCAGCAAATTAGGCTAAATATTACATAATAAGTCGATCTCGCATTAACCACTTAATCTCGTCTTTTCTATTGAGAGGGTCGGTAGCCCATGAATTCGACAGCGCTTGTCCCTACCCCAGATAGCCCATTTTCTCCGCCTCCTTCCCACTTACAGAGCCATCGCTGACTTGATGCCGACGCTAGCAACCCACGTCCTGAGCGAATTATTTGGGTAGGGTTTTAACGGAGAGAATAAACATGTTTGTTTTGTCATTAAAGTCATCAAAAGCAGACCGTGAAGAAGTCTTGCGGAGGGAGAGGAAAAGGCAACTGTTGCATTTAGGGTGGCTGCCTGAACCCGATACGGGGTCGACCTATAGCAGCCACGAGGATGTGGCTGTAAGGGCGCGGCCGTTCGCTTGTTTGTTGCTAGCTTGGAACATCACAGGCCGCATGCGGCACAGCCTTTTCCCTTTTCTATTCTCGGGTGCCTAAAATTAGCTGCTGTACGTGCAGTTTTTATGGTAGATATTGGTTTGCTTGTATTTACAACGATATCATTCAGCCGCACGAGTTACAACAACTTTAAGACCTTTGTAGAGACAGTGCCATGCCCTTCTATATTAATGCAATTGCGAAGGCACAGAATCGAAATCCGCCCTAATTTCCACTGGTTTCTTCATAGTACTTCTTGTTAAGCTTTGTCTACTGTTTAGCGTTTCCTCTGTTCGTAGACCACAACAGCAAGAAGAATGCGCAAAAGGAAAGTAAAAAATACGCCCAGCGAGAACAGGCTAGCAGTATAGGACAAAAGGTGAATTTCGGATGGCAGCGGGAGTGATGGTGCAATCTTATTCACCAATAACGATAAGTAGAGATACTTTAGAATGAGATGTACTGAATGGGGTTACCGGCGTAACGATACTCTCAGGCCCACGTGTCTGTGTTACTTTGGACTAAAGTTAGGACTAAAGGACGAGTTACTAAAGACGAATACTCTTCATTGAAGCGGCACACCTTGGCTATCGTAATAGCTCTCAATGGAGAGGTATGTCT